CAGCTGTTCCCCCGTGTGCAGGAGGTGCTGAGAGGGAGGGGAAGGAGCAGGGATGGGGCGCACTTGGAGGAGAGGGCGGAATTGGGTGGGAAGAGGTGGGGTGGGGGTGGCTGGGTGGAAAGAGGCAGAGTGGGCCATTATTTCTTATGGGGAAAAATTCCCTGGTATCTGTTGTTTCGATATCCATCACCCTTTCAAGAACGCAGCCCCAAAGTATACCGGGGACCCCCTGTAAGTATTAATATTATTATTTTCACTTAGAGTAATATCGTAAAGAAGACCAAATTCAGGCTTGTTCACCTTCTCAATACAAGCGACAAAGAGTCCTGTGGCACCTTATAGACTAACAGACGTATTGGAGCATAAGCTTTCGTGGGTGAATACCCACTTCGTCATACGTCTGTTAGTCTATAAGGTGCCACAGGACTCTTCGTCGCTTTTTACAGATCCAAACTAACACGGCTACCCCTCTGATACTTCTCAATACAGGCACCAGTGTTGTCCAACTGATATGTTTGATGGGATAAATTAATAAAATTGGAAATACATTTATATTTCATAAAATTGGGAATTAATATTCTTTAAGGCAATCTATGATGTACAGCAAATCAAAATGAATTCCACATCAGCTCACTTTGACCTTTTGTGTCCAGTTATTAAATAAAGCTCTACATCATAATAGATTGTATTACAACACATTTCATCAGTCTGGAAAAAAAAGAATACAAATAATAGAATATGTGGAAGACAATGTTGGAAAGTTTTACTTATGGTAGGAACTTGCATGACTTTAGATCCACTGTAGTCAATGGCAACACCCCTGCCCCCATTGACTTCAGTGGTAGCAAGATCAAGATTTGTTGAGCTTTGGGCATAAATGATTTGTAAATTAATAGTTCCTAAGGTAATAGGATAACTTTGACTTCAAATAACTGTTTCATGACACTTTCCATGGTTCTGTTAGTAGAACACACCATTCTAATCCAGGACTAATCCCTTAATAAAAGTTGCTTTACTTTCTTTTATAATTGAACCACATTCACTGCACAGGCCTCTTTGTAGTGCGACAAAGTAAATAGTATCAGTGATTCTAAAGAAAAGGAAATACTGACATAGAATCTGTTTGATTGAAAAATGCATTTACTTTCATGTGTCTAAGTTGTCCAGTGTAAAAGGGCCATTGCTGTAAAAGAATATCACACTTACATTTTGCACTATTCTAACTTTATAAATATATATCAGGTTTGCAGTAAATATCTCTTCTAACAACCTGCAGATGTGGCATTGGTTAGATATACTAGTTGTGTAAAATCTTATCCAGACACTGAAAAAACATTTACCACTCAGCTGTGGGTTTTTCTGCTATGGGTTTGATGTTGGTTGGCACTGGCAGCCTCTTTCACTTTCTTTCCCCAAACACGCCTGTGTAAGATCCAGAAAGATTGCTGACAGCAGTGATCCTGTGGTGGGGTAGCTAGCTTATCCAAAATAAAAGGGTTCTCTGGGGCTGATCCTCTGCTGGGGTAAATTGTCATAGCTCCCTTGACTTCACTGCTTCCCAGGATGGGAAATCAATGGAGTTTTGCCTGAGTAAGGATTGGAGGATTTGATGCATTGTGCCATATCGGCACCCGTTTTTGGGAATGTTCCGTGTACTCATGTTGTGCCATGTATTCTTGGGAATGCTCACTTGGCATCAAAAGAGAAGGGTGCTAGTAGGGCTTTCGTGGTGAGGGACTTGGAATTTAGGAATTCATTCCCTTGTCATATTCAGCTGGCCTTCAGGGCATTTTTAGAAGGGCTAACATTTATGCAGCAGGGACTGGGACCTGTGGCTGCAGGGATTTGATTCTCTTTCTGGTTTTGGAGACTGTTTTCGTTATACAGAGTTGCAATTGAATATGTATAGGGGGCTGAGTGCCTTGGATAGGTGCTATTAAATATTGTATATAAATCTGAATAAATAAGTAAAGCAATTGAAGACTTAATCTAGCATAATTAACTGAAGCTAATTGTAAAATATTCTCTTTTAAAGCAAACCGAATTTACAACAAAAGTTTTCATTCAAGTTGGGATTTTGTGTGTGTTCTCTTTCCTGCTAATGGCAAGAGAAATGTTCACTGCCAAATTTACACATTGGAAGTGCTTGTAACTATGTGCTGTAATCCAGCCCAGGTGGAATGATGAGGGCGCTGCAACTTCATCTCCCTTCCACTGTTGTTGATGCACCAACTGCAATAATATTTCAAGTCACTCCCTGTCTCTCTCTGGATAGTTAGGGGAAGGTCAGCTATTTTTGACTGGCCACGCCTTGATAGAGAAACAGAGTAAAGCTCTTCTATCAATGTCCTAAAATAGAAGGGCCTTTCCATCTGTCAGGCTGAAGTCAGCCTTGTGGAACACAAGTCTGGGAACACAAAATCAACCCACCAGGCACAGGGAAAAACAGAAAGGCAAGGAAAGAGAAATTTCTTCAAACACTGGCTGCATTCTCCTACCAGCACCTATTGTCCACTTGTCTAATTTTTTACTTTGAGAGGGTTGATTTTTAAAATAATAAAAAAAAATATTCAGATTCATTTGGAAGCAAATCAACGATGAAACTGAGTGTGGGGATATTTTTTGGAGGCTTCTTCGGGGCGCTGGGAGTTTTGCTCTTTTTGGTGGCCTTTGGGACAGATTACTGGCTTCTTGCTACAGAAGTTGGAAGATGTTCAGAAGGTCCAAACAATACCACGGTTAGTATGTATATTTTTTCTTCAGAATAATAGCTGGCATTAGTTTCACAGATGTGAAAATTTCTTCTTCACGTAGAAAGAACATACTGTATGGACACTAAGTTTGACTCTGGTGTTTATGGGCCTGATCCAAAGCCTACTGCAGTTAGTGGATTTTTATTGATTTAATTTGGCTTTGATCAGGCCCATTGTGCTCAGAACCACGAGAAGCAATCTGAGCTTTTGACAAAGGAGCTATAATTGTACAGGTTTTCTTTAAATAATCTGCATTCAGGTAAAATGTGTTTTCTTATTATTTTCAACTAAAAACCTATATTTGATGGGATTTGATTCTGTTAGCCACCTGAAAAATGCCTGGACTGTGCTCATGCATTCAGGCTACAAAGATTGTGTTTGTTTTGCGCAGGAGGAGAAGGTCACTTTCCACCATGAAGGTTTCTTCTGGAGGTGCTGGTTTGCTGGAGATGTAGAAGAGGACACTAACAATATTTGGAAATTCTGGTACAGTAAGTGTAGTTTATATTTTTACATTACCTTTACCATATTGATGCAAAGGCTGAAATTCTTTTTGTTGGTCATCTGGTGCAATATCTATCTATCTATCTATCTATCTGCTATTATCTCATAAATAAGGACTCTCTCTCTCACACACACACACACGATTCTGGCCCCCAAAATGATTGCAAATCACTCTTACAGCTGCCCTAATTGGGCATTCTCCCTAGGTCGAGGAATTCCCAGATGGCATGGAGCTGACAGTTCTGGTAACCCTTACTCGGGCAAAACCCTCACTGAAGTTAATGGGGCTTTTGCCTGAATAAGAACTTGGAGGCTGTACCCATAGAATTCAGTCTGCCACTTTAGAGAATGTGTTTAAAAGTGTTCTACTCAGCACAAATACAACTCATGATCATATAAATACTAGACATTAATGTTTAGGCTTTTTTTCCCCCAGCCAATCAATCGCCGTCTAAGAATTGCACACATGCCTACCTTTCTCCATTTCCTTTTATCCGAGATGAACACAACTCAACCTCCTATGACTCTGCAATCAGTAAGTATTTTCTTGGCTTCAAATGTATATAGTGCCTATAGTTTCAGAAAAACAATTTGGATATTTCAGTATGAAGTAGCTTTATCATTTCACGCAGTTTAATTAATGGAGCTTTGGAATGTCATAGTCCATATGATTTTAAACTGTGTTTGGAAGTAAAAATGTAAGTAAAAATCCTATCATTTCATTTCACCAGGACTGGACTGCTCATTTCTGGAAGCCATAATATTTAGGATACTATTCAGCAAAGACTTAAGCCCATGCTTAACATTAACCATGTGACTAGTCCCTGGAAGTCAATGGGACTACTCACAACCTTAAAGCTAAGCATGGGCTTAAGGCCTTTGCTGGATAGGGGGCATAGTTTGCAAATGTAAAATTTCCTTTTTAAGTGTGTGTTTTTCTGTTTTCCCAATAAACAAAATATCTTCCCCCAAAATTCTTAACATTGAATATAAAAGAACCATTTAGTGTCTTCAAAGAGCAAATTTATCTTAAACTTCACTAAACTTAGAGTCAGTCTCATAGAATTAGGTTGTCCATGTGATGAATTATCTTACTGCATTTATTTGTGCTTTTCTCTGATTGGTTGAGTTAGTGGTTCCCTCAAGAATGATGTTTTTTGTTCCTGTGTCTTTGTGTTGGGGTTTATAATGGGGTTCGATCACTGCTGGGATGCCTCCTTGTAGCTGGGTCTAGAGATTAGCTCTTGCTTGGTCTGGCACTCCCTTCCATTGGTTCCCTGCACCATGTCCCCCACCCCCCAGGGGATTTGGGGCGCTCCCTCTCTGTGACTCGACCTTCCAGCCAGATCACTATTTAGTCCTCCACTTCCAGGGTGTCATCGTCCCACTGGACAAGCTGTCCATATGCCAAGTCCAGGTCCACTGGCTGGTAGGGGAACCCCGGCTCACCACCATCTCCAGGTTCCATTTCAGGGACCCAATGCGTAGCAACCACCATCTGCTCAATTTGAGACCCTGTTGCTATTTCCCTGGGCACCTTCCTACCTCACTTCTTTGTCTTCTGCCCCACCTCAGGATTTACCAATGTGAGCTTCTTCTATTTGCAGTGGCTTCCCCACCCCTCTCAGCTTCTTGTCACTCTATAGTCCAGGGTTTACTCTCCCCATAGATCTCCTTCTCTCTCGCCAATTCCCTTTCTCTCTCTGGAGTGAGTGTAGAGCTCCTCCCTATAGCTCCGTCCTGCTCTCAACTTCCTGGCATTATATAAGCCACAGCCTGTTTCTGTCCAGCTGGGCTTCATCTTCAATTAAACTTTGTCCCTGGTTCTCCTCCGGGTGCAGCCTATAAGGTCAATTGGCCTTATTTAACCAGCTCATGCCTTGTGTGGGATGGTGGACATATACCAGCTTGTGGGAGAGAATATGGGTACCTTCTATCCTGGAGTTGCTGAATTTGGGCCTGCAAGTCATCTTGCTCCATCTCTGGGTCACCCACCATGAGAAGCAGTTTACTCTTCTCTTCCATGGTGTTCTGGTACTTCTGCTAACACTCTAAGGCTTGTGAAACCACTTGCATGGCTTGCTCTACAGCTACCAACTTCTCTTGTAACTCCTGCCCTTGGTCTGCTCTCCCTCAGCACTCTTTCCCTCAGAGTCTGAGTTCCCCACTGTATTGGTTAGTCTCTGTATTTATCCCAGTATCATTCAGTTTTATCTTCATGGGACCATTTCTTCCTTCCAGTTCCTTCCCACTTTTCGTCATTACAGACCTATTGGCCTTCTCTACTACTACTACTGCTACTACTACGCCCCTATTGAGGGCAACTGGCTCTTCCTTTCTTGAAACCTTGCCCTTTTCCTAGCTACGTTTTACCTTCTCGTGAGGATTATGCCTCCTCACATGTCCCAATTCCCCACAGGAAAAAACAGGCACCTCCCCTTCCTGCTCTCGCAACAGGTGGGACTCGTAGTCTGTCCTGCGTTCCTCCCTTCAGGACAAACCCTCTTGTCATGAACTAAGTAGGGGGATTCCCTTTTTTTAAGTGTCCCCCCTGCCCACAGACATAACACTCTCTTGCCAGGCCTCCAGCCTCCTGGCCCTGAGATCTCTTTTCTGTTCCCTTCTGCAGCCTCTGAAAATTTCTTCTTGCAGGATCTTAAATAAATATTGCTGCTGTTCTGCCAGCTTTGCCAAATAGCTCTGCAGGTATAACAGTGCTTCCCACTGACTCTGTTGGTTCTCCAGGACCTGCGTAAGTAGTACCTGGATCCCCTTTCGTTGTTTTTTTTGTTTTTTTTTGTCTCCCTTAACCAGAAGCAGAAACTCAAGGGTCCCACTTGGGAGGGTGTATCTGCCTTCTCCTTCTGCAAAAAAGGCTTCTGCACACTGCAGCTACAGTGTCTCTTTCTAATATGGTGTCTCACCCTCCCCTTGTATCGGGGGTGACTGCCATGCCCATATGCTTCACCAGATTTGTAATGGGGTACAACTCACCACTGGGGGCACCTCCTCATGGCTGAATCTGGGGACTGGCTCTTGCCTGGTCTGGCAACCCCTTCCATTGGTTCCTCACACCGTGGCCCCTCTCTCTCTCTCTGGGACTTCAGGTGTTCCTCTTTGTGCCTCCACTCTCTGGCGAGTCATTATTTAGTCCTCCCCTTCTGGAGTGTCAAAGTCCTAATGGATAAGCTGTCGGTATGCCACGTAAGACAGTCTTCCGGTCCAAGTCCAGGTCCAGTGCCATTTTCCCAGTGACTGCTAGGGGAATCTGGGTCCGCCCTCCGTCTTCAGGTTCCAGCCCAGGGACACTATGCCTAGCAACCATGGTCTGCTCAATCTCAGACCCTGTTGTCGTTTCCCTGTGTGCCTTCCCACCTCACTTCTCTATCTCCTGGTCCCCTCAGGATTTGCCAGCCTGAGCTTTCTCTGATCACAGGAGCCACTCCTCTCTGCTTCTTGCCAGACTCTAGTTCAGTGCAGGATCCCAGCGCTTACTCTCCTCCTAGAACTCCTCCCTAGCCAACTTCCTTTCTGTCTAGGGAGTGACTGCAGAGCCCCTCCCTGCAGCTTCCTCCTGCTCGCCACTTCCTAGCTTTATACTACCCCCAGCCTGCTCCTGCCCAGATGGACTTCATCTTCAGTTAGACTTTATCAGTCCTTGGCTCTCCTCCAGATGCAGCCTACCAGGTTAATTGGCCCTTTTGAACCTGCTCAGGCCTTTTGTGAGGTGGACACCCCATCAGAGTCTTACTGATATGTTTGTCATGTATACAGTGTAGGATTTCAAAACATATACTCTCCTAAAGTGAGATATATGAAATAATAACATTGGGATATTGTACTAGATTAACTCTAACATACTTTAGTAAGGACATTATTTTCTGCACCATGATTGGAAAACTGAGTTTGTACAAGTGCCATTTAAAACAAATTGGGCCAATTGGTGTGACGTTGATGTCAAAGGTCAAATCAAGGATTTTATGGAATCTCGGGGGAATTATTTTTCAAATGATCTATGGCTGGACGTCTTTCAGTCTCATAATGTATAGATACATGACTGCTGTATATCCTTGAACTTGCTCTATCCCTATTAGTAAGTGTTTTCAGGATTTGATTCTTGTTGCATATACTGCTTACCTAGGAAAATAACTTGTACTGTCAACAGTTCTGTTGATCTTTTAAAAATATTAACTAATAGTCCAGAAGGAGGTCAAATGTGGCCAATCAAGGTCATAGGTCAAACCCATGACTTTGCAGCACACCAGAGAAATTTGTCTTTCCAATGTTGTGGAACCTTCCTCTCCTAATAATCTAGGAGGAGTTTGCATCCAACCAGTCATTCATAAATTCATAAGGAATCCCCAAATTACATTATATGATTACACAGAAGTGGACAAACAAAGAATAAGAATGGGAGAAAGGAACATCATCAACATTTCTTATTAATTTTAGTTAATATTTGCCAATAGATCCATTGCTCAAATATAATTTACCTAGCAATATTTCATATTAGGAGATTAAAAACAGGGAAAATTGTACTATAGGTGATGTCCCAGGAACTCTATATTCAGAGCCATCCCTACTATACAAATAGAAACAGTTGGATTGCTTTGGAGCTCATTAAAATTCTGGTAAGAAAGAGATTGTTTTGGCATCCAGTTCATGCCACACAAGTTCATTTTCAGCATCTGAGTCTAATTTTTTATTAGAGCAGATATTTATATTCAAGAATACTTTATCATGATCATAATAACTCCCTTTGCTATTTAATGCCTTTTTACATTATCATCATTTTTGCTAGTACAGAAATTTACTCATCTTTAGTCTAGCACTCTCCTATCTACAGTATTTTAGTAGAACAAGCTTTTGGCAATGTGCAGGATCAGCATTTGTTAAATTAAGAAATACTAGAAGTGTATCCTTTTATTCTTAACATACCCTGGGTGAAATCTTAGCTCTGATGAAGTGAATAGCAAAACTCCTGTTGATTTCAACAGAGCCAGGATTTCACCTACACCTCTACCCTGATATAACGCGACCCGATATAACACAAATTCGGCTATAACGCGGTAAAGCAGTGCTCCGGGGGGGGCAGGGCTGCGCACTCTGGTGGATCAAAGCAAGTTCGATATAACGTGGTAAGATTTTTTGGTTCCCGAGGACAGCGTTATATCGAGATAGAGGTGTATTACTTTTTGTATCCGTTTGGCAGTGTCCAATATTGTATCTCAACTAACCATACAACAAAAGGAAACTGTTAAAATATTGATATTATTGCTTCCCTTTATCTGTTCTTCTACTGTTTGTTGATGGTCCCAGTTTACCTTAACCTCAACCTTAAGGTTGAAAAACAAATTCTATTATAACCCCCATTTTCACATGCTTAACTTTCTCAAACGTTCACCCTTGGAGGTAAAATCTTCCACAGTTTGTCTCTTCCTGAAGGTGAACTATTTTTCACCTTATTTGAACTGTGAAACTGTGAAGGGTAAAAAAATGAATCACTTTTCCTTCTGAAAAAAATTCTAGCCACCC